CTTCATCAGACGTGCCGTCCGAGAAATCGGAGCAGCCTCCGTGCAGGGATGCCATTGTTGCGCCGGCTGTCTCATGGGCCTTCTTCCACATGTCCCGGATATTCATGCCCAAACGGGGCTTGTCGGGCTTTTGCTTCTTTGTTTTTCTGCCCATGTGGATTGGGTAAGCCGTGGGGCACTCCGGGGAGTGTTTGGGTCGTGGTCGGGTTCTGGTTGCGGCGATTTAGCTCGTTTGGAGTCGGGAGCTCTGCCGCCATGCGACCTTCCTCGTCTGTTGCTAGACCAATAGGCATATTTTAACAGTGAGAGACAGAATAACAAAAACAATCCAGAAAAATGAATGTCGAAAAAGTTATAAATTGATTTGCATGTCAATAAGTGAAATAAGTATTTGATCCCCCATCAATCAGGGAGATTTCTGGCTCCCAGGTGTCTTTTATACAGGTAACGAGCTGAGATTAGGAGCACTTTGTTACAGGGAGTGCTCCTAATCTCAGCTTGTTACCTGTATAAAAGAAACGTGTCCACAGAAGCAATAAATAAATCAATTAGATTCCAAGCTCTCCACCATGGCCAAGACCAAAGAATTGTATAAGGATGTCAGGGACAAGATTGTAGACCTACACAAGGCTGTAATGTTCTACAAGACCATCGCCAAGTAGCTTGATGAGAAGGTGACAACAGTTGGTGCGATTATTCGCAAATAGAAGAAACACAAAATAACTGTCAGTCTTCCTCTGTCTGGTGCGCCATGCAAGATCTCACCTCGTGGAGTTTCAATGATCATGAGAACAGTGAGGAATCAGCCCAGAACTACACGGGAGGATCTTGCTAATGATCTGAAGGCAGCTGGGACCATACTCTTCAAGAAAACAATTGGTAACACACTATGCTGTGAAGAACTGTAATTCTGCAGTGCCTGCAAGGTCCCCTTGCTAAAGAAAGCACATATACAGGCCTGTCTGTTTGCCAATGAACATATGAATGATTCAAAGGAGAACTGGGTGAAAGTGTTGTGGTCAGATGAGATCAAGCTCTTTGGCATCAACTTAACTCACTGTGTTTGAAGAAGGAGGAATGCTGCCTATGACCCCAAGAACACCATCCCCACTGTCAAACATGGAGGTGGAAACATTATGCTTTGGGGGTATTTTTCTGCTAAGGGGACAGGACAACTGCACCGCATCAAAGGGACGATGAACGGGGCCCATATATCGTCAAATCTTGGGTGAGAAACTCCTTCCCTCATCCAGGGCATTGAAAATGGGTTGTGGATTGGTATTCCAGCATGAAAATTACCCAAAAACACAGCTAAGGCAACAAAGGTGTGGCTCAAGAAGAAGCACAATAAAGTCCTGGAGTGGCCTAGCCAGTCTCCAGACCTTAATCCCATAGAAAATATGTAAAGGGAGCTGAAAGTTCGAGTTGCCAATTGTTTGCCTTGAAACCTTAATGACTTGGAGAGGAACTGCAAAGAGGAGTGGGACAAAATCCCTCCTGAGATGTGTGCAAACCTGGTGGCCAACTACAAGAAACGTCTGACTTCTGTGATTGCCAACAAGGGTTTTGCCACCAAGCACTAAGTAGGTGGGGGTCAAATACTTATTTCACTCATTGACATCCAAATCAATGTATAACTTTTTTGACGTGTTTTTCTGGATATTTTTTTTTTCTATTCTGTCTCTCACAGTTAAAATACAGTACACCTACCATTAAAATTATAGACTGATCATTTCTTTGTCAGTGGGCAAGCATTCAAAATCAGCAGGGGATCAAATATTTCTTTTCCTCACTGTATGTTATAATTTTAAAAAATGGTGGATGTATTGTGATCCAACAAAATGGCGAATACAAATGTAGATTGTGTTTAAAATTTTTTGCCAGTTATTTTTTATTTTACTATTATATATGTTAGTAAATAATGTCTTAAAGCCATAGCCTATATTTATATGGCAGTGCAGCAGTTGTTTGTCCCATGTAATCAAACACTTTTATTACCTCATTAGGCAATGAGGGTGCTACATTTTGGAAGCCCCCAGGGAGAGTGAATGCAGTGAGGGTTGGCTTCCAATGATGGCATTCTACCTCCAGTGTCAGTGTCCATATTTTTTTTTTTTTTGTAAGCATAAATGCACTACTTTGCATTCTTTTTTTGAAGGTGAATGATGGACTATGTTTTAAATATATATAATCACATATTCCCTTTAAGTTGTAACTGGGTTATATAGAGTCCCTAATTATTTTTTCCTCATAGAACACATTACCTAGTCAAAGTGTAAAAATAATGTGGGCGTTTCCTCAGGGCAGGGAGTAGTAAAATGTTCAATCAAATCCCAGGTATGATGAAATGCACAATTTTGAAAACAGGGCATGTAATTTAAGTAACTTTAAACAAACAAAATGTATCAATTGTAACCCAATGTTAATCTTTCTGCAGCTTGTGGTTTCTTTATATTAATGTTTTGATGTGAAAACTGAAAGATAATTTGTTTACAGTGAGAGTTGGCTTTCAATGGGGACAGTCTACCTCAAGAGTCAGTAGAAAAATATTAAGTACTGCAACATCAAAAGTGTTGAGAGATTTATTCCACCCAACCTCAGGGTCTTTATCAAGGCTTTGTCAAATGTGCAACCAAATTGTGCATGTCCATTGTGTGGTGACATCATATGCATAATGACATCATACACAAGTGTCAGGGATGTCCACCTTTGAACCCAGAAGTCCAATATGGCCCATTATGCTGGTGGATTAGTCCCCCTGTAATTGATACTTACTAGATTGTTGGCACTATATTGTACAACATAAACATATGGTGAGTACCAAACATTAACATTATAAATCATTTAATTTGTTCACTAATTGTTTGATTGTATTATTGCACTGATTTTAATTCTATGATTATAAAAAAAGCTTACAGTTTCTGGTGTGAAATATCTTGATGAAGAACCAATTTTGGGTTGAAACACTGATATATTCATCTGGTTCCAGTAAATGTGCCTTTAAGCATTGGAGTGCCTGTACATTCTTTCTTCAAATAAATGCAAAATTTGTGAACTTCAGCTACCAAAGAAAATACTTCAGGGCAACACGTGGTCCAGATACATAAGAAAATGTCTGGTGATTCAGTAACACTGACCACAGAGCAGGAAACATTGCAAAGAGAAATTGCCACCATACAGTTAGCCCTGTAAAAACTGATGCAACGGAAGCAAAATTCAACGAATAGTGCATCACAAAACACTAGCATACAACAAAACTCTAGTTTAAATATATATCCAGCACTTGCTCAACCAGTTTTGTCCCCTTAAAAACAGAGAGTTCAAGATGTCAGGCCAAGTTGGTGAACCTGGACAAAAAGAAAAACTTGCCTACTCAAAACTGTGCATATTGTGTCAGCAGAAATCATGTGTGTTTCTCTATATGTGTGTGTGTGTGTGTGTGTGTGTGTATGTCTGTCTCTGTATGTGTGTGTGTCTGTGTGTGTATTATGTCTGTGTGTCTATATGTATGTGTGTTTGGCTGTGTGTGTCTGTATGTCTGTTTGTCTGTGTGTATGTATGTCTATGTGTATGTGTCTGTGTGTGTCTGTCTGTCTGTCTGTCTGTGTCTGTGTGTGTGTGTCTGTCTGTGTCAGTATGTATGTGTCTCTGTGTGTGTGTGTGTTTGTATATATATGTGTCTGTATGTATGTGTGTGTGAGTGTGTATGTGTGTGTTCCTGTATGTGTCTGTGTGTATCTGTTATGCATGTATGGGGGGAGGAGGGAACGTATGGGAGGGAGACGTTAGACGTATGGGAGAGGGTGGTGGGGAGTAGAAATACCAGGGGGGGGCAGGGCAATTTAGGCACCGGGGCCCTGTGGTTTCTAGTTGCCTCTGATCGTAACTATTTGTTATATGAGTCAGCTAACCTAACCTGTTTTGCTGTTACACTTACCCAAGACATATCACTTTGAGATTTATTACTGAGGCTTTTTTGATATACTCATACACACTTCACATTATGTTTTTTTACTGTAGACGTGCAATATGCTCATCATCCTTGTACAATACTGCAAGTATTATGTCTGAGGTGTTTTGTTATACACCGTTACACTATGCATATTATTGTGAATTGTATTTTGGATGTGCTGTGTAATATAGTCATACACATAGCACATACATTTTATAAATAAATTGCTAGCAATATTCCCACTAATTTTTCTTAGTTGTGGTGCACCGTGCTGAATGTTTGTGCAAATGTAAACCTCAAATTGTTTCTTGATAATTTTGTTAGAGCCTCTCTCTCATGTTTAATAACATTGCTACTAAATGATAATGTAGTATTAGTAGTTATACACCAGTATTTTGTGTGTATATATATATATATATATATATATATATATATTTGTAAAAAATCTTTTGAGTTTGTCAAATATTTTTTATTATTGTTTTAAAATAATATAATATATCATACAACATTGGCACACATATATATATATATATATATATATATATATATATATATATATAATGACTTATAAACCATTGTCAAAACGAAACAAATAATCAAATAAAATTCAGATAAATATTATAAATATTTGAATATGAAATAAGTAAACTAGGTACAGAAATAAAATAAAGTGTCAAGTAATTAATAACAACTTGGTACTAAAAAAAATATCAGGAAACAGAATATGTATTCAGTCAGGTGGGAACATGGTTAAAGTCCACATTTTTCTTTCACATCATCTTCCCACATTGACCATTCATGCTGCAATATAGATGTGAAAGTAGATGGATCAAGAAAAGCCAATACACACCTTTTTTGTTTTTTT